CTCTTCTCTTCCTCTTCTCTTCCTCTTCTCTTCCTCTTCTCTTCCTCTTCTCTTCCTCTTCTCTTCCCACTGTCTTGGCCTGGCAGAGGGGAGCAGTGGCTTAGGTAGAGGAGGGCACTGCACCTGTGGAAAGGAAGAAAAGTGAAAGAAGCATTTAAGCAGGAGCTGGTGGGTCCATAGGTGTGATGGGACTAATGGCCCACACACAAGGCTTGCCCATTGCCAGAGATTGCCTGTATGTAGTGGATGTGGCATGGAATATGTCCCTTGGGCAATCAAGGGACTACATCTATGGAGCATCTAGAGCATCTGTTACAAAACAGAATTTATTTTCTGCTCTCATCAGCACTGATTGCTTTGTTTAATAAGCACTGACACCATGCAGTCATCATTTCCTGTCATGGAGATCACTATGAAGTTTCTGATCAGTTCAGCCCTTCTGCTGTAGGGATCAGTGCCTGGTCTCACAGTGAGTCAGTTTTCTTTGTTTCAGCAAAGAAAGTGTTGGGTGGCTGCTGAAAAGCTGTAAGGAAAAGACATTTTAAGGAGGAATTTGAGCATTTGGAGAGCTGAGGCATAGCTAGGCAAAGCTAGAGAGGCCATGGCAGTACGGGGCTGGAGGAACGAGGTGTGAAGATGGGCGTAAAAGGAAACTGGGTGGAGGATTGGGTAGAGGAAAAAGTGATGGGATCGTGGGAGCAAAGGTGTGGAACATGTCAAACATGAGGGACAAGACTGGAAAGTTTTCCTCCTTGTCCTTGGCAGGAAAGGGGGATGGATTGGGTCAGGGTGGAGTTTGGCAGCAGAGACCCTCAAGGCCGGCTCAGCTGTGGGGAACACTGCAAACCTTGTAGGAGAAAGAGGTGAGTTACAGTCAGCAACAGTGAGAGGAGGAAGTGTCAGCCCCCTTCAAGCTGAGCTTTGTCCTGATGTGTCTGGAAGCTGCTTGCTTGGGGTAGTTGAGAGAGCCACTTTGGCTCCCTTTGAGGCCTCTCATCCCCAGGGTGGGCTGAAGCTGAAACACAGCTTTTAAAGTGCTTTTATCCTTTTCCCCAAAGGTACAAAGAACAGGTAAGGGAGAGCTGATCTCCTTTCTCTGCCTTTGCCTTGAGGCTTTGGAAGGAGTGCTGAATGTGTGCATGAGAGCCTTTTCAAGGGAAGCTGGGATGTTCATCTTCCAGCTGGATTTCTTTTATTTAGAAAAGGAGCTTCTCATCACAGACAACAGAATTTTCAAAAATTCTGCTAAAATCAGCCCCTTTTCTGCACTGCTTGACTCACTTCACTGCTGATGTTTGTGCTTTCAGGGAACTGTGCCATTGA